TATATATATATATATATACTATATATATATATATATATATATATATATATATATATATATATATATATATATATATATATATATATATATATATATATATATATATATATATTAATGTACAGTTCCTGTGAAAGTCTAGCTTGCAAAAAGGACAAGACCATTTAATTTACCTGTTGTCGTTCCAATAAAATTTTACATTCTTCCTTGCACGAAGATAATGTCTAAACAAATAATATTTTTTAAAAAAACACATCAATCATGCAAAACTTCGCAAGTTTCGGTTTGGGAGATTCATTCATTTCTAAAACTGACGTACCTCCTGTAGTTTCAAATTTTCGTCCAAGACAGAGTTCAAACGCTTCTTCAAAGTTAAAGCTTCAGCTTCAGCCTACCAATTAGAACATTGTAAATCTTTATACCTTGTAAAAAGAAGTATTACCGCACAAAAAAAGAAGGTTCTCGTCATCATGTACTTTGTGATACCTTAAAATAAAGATACATTCAGTTGAAATATACCTCTTTTGATCTTGTTTCAAACTCCATCTTCAGCATATCCTGGTGCTCCTAGAAATACACCGTGTACAAATGATGAACCGAAAATCACAAAACAAAAACATTGAGCAAACTAGTTGTACGAGTTTATATTAACTTACCATTGTATTCTTCAGCTCCTTCTCTAGAGTTCGCGATTTAGTTGTTCCTAAACAACAAGAAAAAGACGTAAAGGTGCTGAATTTTCATCTTCCGTATTTCTTCGGTCCCTTACAAAACTTTCACATTATGATTCCCAGTGTTCCATGGCCAATTCTACGCACAAAATAACATTTTCACATCTGAAATTAATTTTCACATATATATACCTTTCATTTCGTATGTCATAAAATTGTTAGACATAAATTACACAATTTTAAATTTCACATATCAATCACAATATGCATTCAAATATCACAAATCATTCGTATATCACAAATCCTTCAACCCACATAAAATTTCAGATTGTGAAATGATAGCTGAATTTTCCCTTAAAAGGGGGTAATAAGCATGGTAAATTATTACATAAAGGAAATACATTTGCAAAGGACCATTTGCATTATAGACTAAATTTTGATCTAGACAAAAATTTCATCACAGCTTGAAAGAGCATCACAAAATTAGTAATGTTCCAAAGTTTCGTTGCGAAATGTTGTAAAATGCGGATAATATAGCCATGCGAAGTTTGCCGTTTTTCAGTCATTTTGTATTACGCACGGGAAATTGACAGCCCAATCGGGTGTTGGGGCATCAATTTCCCATTTGTAATACAAAATGACTGAAAATTGCAAATTTCTCGTGATGCTCTTTCAAGCTGTGATGAAATTTTTGTCTAGATCAAAATTTAGTCTATAATGCAAATGGTCCATTCACAACATTTTAAAGGATCACAAAGGAAATCATTATCGTGGTATAATTATCACTTACAAAGCGCCTTGGATTCATTTTCGCCAAAGAGGCAGGCAATTAAGTCTCGCCTCCAATATTTGGGCTCGACTTCAGTTATAATATTAATCACTGCCTACCTTCATCTTGGTATTTTTGACGTTTTCGGAGCTCTTCCTTGAAAAACAATTAAGAAAATACATTTGCATGAATGCGATTGCTAAACAATGACATCAGTTGAAGACTATATGACGATATACAGCAGAACGTTGCTAGCGTATATTATTACATACCAACAGAAATAATCGAGTTCTATGGATTGAACGGTACCTTCGCATTTTCGGACTCCTTCTTGTAACGTTCTACTTCTTTCTCGCTTTTCTTGCATTTGATTTTGTAGCTAAAACGGGAGGGGAAATGAGAGAAATTGTACGATCTTCCCATAATATAGCTCTGTTCTCTAAAAACGTACTCCCCATAGTACAGCTCCGTTCTCTGAAAACTTACTCCCCATAATACAGCTCTGTTCTCTAAAAACTTACTCCCTATAATACAGCTCTGTTCTCTAAAAACTTACTCTCCATAATACAGCTCTGTTCTCCAAAAACTTACTCCCTATAATACACCTCTGTTCTCTAAAAACTTACTCCCTATAATACACCTCTGTTCTCTAAAAACTTACTCTCCATAATACAGCTCTGTTCTCCAAAAACTTACTCCCTATAATACACCTCTGTTCTCTAAAAACTTACTCTCCATAGTACACCTCTGTTCTCTAAAAACTTACTCCCTATAATACACCTCTGTTCTCTAAAAACTTACTCCCTATAATACACCTCTGTTCTCTAAAAACGTACTCCCCATAATACAGCTCTGTTCTCTAAAAACTTACTCCCCATAATACAGCTCTGTTCTCTAAAAACTTACTCCCCATAATACAGCTCTGTTCTCTAAAAACTTACTCCCCATAATACACCTCTGTTCTCTAAAAACTTACTCCCCATAATACAGCTCTGTTCTCTAAAAACTTACTCCCCATAATACACCTCTGTTCTCTAAAAACTTACTCCCTATAATACACCTCTGTTCTCTAAAAATTTACTCTCCATAGTACAGCTCTGTTCTCTAAAAACTTACTCTCCATAACACAGCTCTGTTCTCTAAAAACTTACTCCCTATAATACACCTCTGTTCTCTAAAAATTTACTCTCCATAGTACAGCTCTGTTCTCTAAAAACTTACTCCCCATAATATAGCTCTGTTCTCTAAAAACGTACTCCCCATAATACAGCTCTGTTCTCTAAAAACTTACTCCCCATAATACACCTCTGTTCTCTAAAAACTTACTCTCCATAGTACAGCTCTGTTCTCTAAAAACTTACTCCCCATAATACAGCTCTGTTCTCTAAAAACTTACTCCCTATAATACACCTTTGTTCTCTAAAAACTTACTCCCCATAATACAGCTCTGTTCTCTAAAAACTTACTCCCTATAATACACCTCTGTTCTCTAAAAACTTACTCTCCATAGTACAGCTCTGTTCTCTAAAAACTTACTCCCCATAATACAGCTCTGTTCTCTAAAAACTTACTCTCCATAGTACAGCTCTGTTCTCTAAAAAGTTACTCCCTATAATACAACTCTGTTCTCTAAAAACTTACTCTTTAATCGTCTCCAGTGCTCGAGATTTCAATTCTTCTTTCTTGTCTTCATTCTCTTTCGCAAGTTTTTCTTGTTCTTTCGCATACTCCATTTTCTCAGCGAGCTCGCGATTCTTTTCTCGGAGCTTGGAAAAAGACAAAGACGCGCATGCATCAAGGTTACATTCTACAGCGCTTTCACACCAAAATGCATCTTAAGCACGCCCATTTCCGCCAAAAACTCCTGCTTACCTTCTCATTCAAACGATCCAGTTGTTGGAGTAGTGTCTCCCTCTCGCGTTCCTGACTTTCAATTTTTTTAAATAAAGTATCCATGCGACTTGTCAAACGTTCTCGCAGTAATTCACTTTCTTCAAGTTTCGTCCTACAATCTCGCAGGCTCGCTAAGACTGAAGCTTTATCTTCTCCACTCATCTTCATTTCTTCATTCAAATCTTCGATCTGTTGGACAACAATTAAAGCTAAATATGCTAGATTTGTCAGTTCTAAACTATTCTCTCTAAAGGTCCAGTATAAAGGCCTTTCCTTATTGGTACAGTATTACTACAGGAGGAAACGCCACCTAAACTACTGTATAACTAATTATGTATACTGGATAGCTTTTCTATTCTAATCTGTTCCCCATGGGCGGATTTACTGGGGGGATTTACCCCCCAGAATCTCTCTAACCCCTTTTATAAAGTGTTCAACCCCACCAAAATTTCGCCTCACTCCTCCTATTTTGTGTGAAAGTCTTCAACTCTAACGCCTAACCCCTGTCATGCAAAGCTCATTCAGTGCTGCCGCTTGCACTCACTAGAAATGTTTCCAGCCCTCCTTTAAAAAAAATGAAAATCCGCCCTTGCTGTTCTCCATAGAGGGCATCTAGTGGCATCTATACCTGTTTCAATAGAGCACTTCGTCCGCTGTCTGTCCATTCCAATCTCTTTACAGCGCTCTCCAAGTCTTGTTCAAGCTACGAAAAACGAACAATCATTATGAAAAGATGAAGGCCTTTTGCCACAAAGGTATAATGACCAGTACAAGTACCACCGGGTGCAAATTTGAAGAAGAAAAGTTGAAAAATGTCAACTGCTGTAGCCCAAACCTTTTCCTTCTCTCTTTCACAATTATCTAGTTTATCATTGAGACCTTCTAGTTTCTTTAAAAGACGTCGTTCCCGTTCTGATCTTTCTATTTCTTCATCGTCACTTTAGAAAGAGAATGAAACATGTTTATGTAATGTAATGATACGAGGGGCTGTTTTGCGATATTGTTAAGATTAATTCAAACTCCTTTCACCTTTCTAATAATTACTAACAGAAATAGTACCTTTTTATCAGTTTCATTTTATTTTTTATCTTCTTCTCATTCGCACTTTCGTTCATCAAGTTCTGTAAGAAATGCCCAAACAGCGCTCAGGATAAGACTCGATGTGTAATGACGACGAAGAGCCTTCATGAAGTTAATTCATGAAGTTAATGCCATGTTACTGGGTGTGTGCATGTCGCACACAGTATCTGCTCGGTGCATGGCTTCCAAACAAAGCAATTTCACATGTTTGAGATGAGGCTCTACTGGCTCAAAGTAGCATCATTTCACATAACCTCACCTGATTTCAAGTAATTTCAAGTCTACCTTAACACTTTTCAGTTCATCAAGAAGTTTCCCAACCTCCTTTTTTTCTTTACTTGCTAAACGTTCCTGATAGAGGACAAAAACATGTTAGGATTGTCTTACAATGTGGACTCCAGGTGTTTCTCTCTGCCCACGTTGGGTACAAGATAGTGGGATAGAACTGTGAAGTTCGCAAATTTTGTATATATTTGCATTACGCGCGGCAAAAATAACCATTCTTGAGCCAAAAGTGGTTATTTTTACCGCGCGTAATACAAATATATACAAAATTTGCGAACTTCGCAGGGCTATATTTTCGTCATTTACAACATTTAGCAACCACTCTTTGCAATTTTACTCATTCTAAGACGCTCTTTCTAGCTGTGGTGTTGGATTTCGTTCGTCTTGCCTTGATCAAAATTTAGTCTATAGCTCTGGAATCACTCATTGATTCTCACGTCTGCTCGTGTAGATAGAGGAAATTTATGCTCTAACTTCTGCGTCATTATGTATATTACATTGATGATTCTACATATCAACACAACCCCCACCTGGTCGTAAATCTGTCTAACTTTTGATTCAAGTTCTTGATCTTTTTTTGTCTTTTTCTCACTATCACGTAGCTGCAAATGACCAAATTATAATCTTTAATTCAACAAGGGAAACTTATATATTGAAAGTATAACGCCCGTATTCTAAAAGCTCACTCACACTCACACTCAATGAGTGGAGGCTCAATCTGAGCTTCTCTTGAGTGTCAATGCTGTTTTTGAATAGCTGGAGGATGAGTAGTCACATAGTAAGGTATGACACTAGCCCTCCAGCTATTCAAAAACAGCAATTACAATCGAGAGAAGCTCAGATTGAACTTCCACTCATTGAGTGTGAGTGAGCTTTTAGAATACGGGCGTAAGAGCTACTATGTGAACGTTCGGAACATTTTCCAGCAAAAGTAAACGACCTATAGTGGTGTCAAACTTGCCTGATCGCGAAGATCCTGAATCTCTCGTTCTTTCTCTAAAGTTAGCCTCACACTTTCAGATAACAACTCTCTTTCAGCCTCTGCTCCCTGTGGAAGACGAGAACAACTTTATAATCTCGAACTGTCAGTGTACTGTAGGTAGTGACAATAGTGAGAAATCTGCAGATTGATATAGAGATACAACTACCTGAAAAATACAAGGAGAACTTCGTAGGTGGAGTTTAAATATGAAAGCTAGAGTCACAGCTAACCTGTCTGGCGAGTTCTTCAGCTCTTTGCCTCCTTTCTGCCTCTTCACGAGATTTCCGAGTCCGTTCACTGAGCAAAACACAAAGACGCGTTAATGATGTTACAGTATAGCAGTGGTTTGTGGTCTGAACGAGAAAAATATTGAAATGCTTCGACCGTTTAAGGTTTTGCGTCAAACGACTTCCAGAGGAGAAACCCAGGGGTGGAAAAAATAGACGAGCACTGCTTGCAGGAAAATGTTAAACAGCTGCAGGAAATTCGTTTGAATGAAGATTTGCTGTTGAAAATTTGAAGGAAACCTTAACACCCACGTCCCCCTATGGGCGCAACAACATATGGTTGACAGACATTATTCCTTGAATTGAAAACCATGGTCAGCTAGAACACTATATGTTTATGCACATGCAGATTTAGCACAAAAATACTCCGTTGGTCTGCAGGAAATTTTTGTCTCCAGGTTGTGCTCCCAGGAAGAAAATTCTTTTTTCCTGCCCTGGAGAAACCCGTGGCTGTGTCAAGCAGTTTTGACAAAAATCAGATCAGCGTAATTTATTTCCTTTTATTGTTTTAAAATACCTACCGTTCAGACCAAGAACCTCGTAAATCTAAAAAAACGAAAATGCAATTTTTAATGTTCTCTAATTTATAACTGATTTTTAAAGTATGAAGATGGTTTGAAACAACAAAAAGCCGAAGAGCATATTTACCATCTTCCACTCTTTGAAAGGATTCTTCAAGTCTCTTCACAGCATGGCGATTTTCACCGTCTGACCTGAAATGACAAATTCAATGCCAATGGAAATTCAATGCTAAATTTTGATCTAAACAAAAATTTTATCACAGCTTGAAAGAGCATCACAAAATTAATAATATTCCAAAGTTTCGTTGCGAAATGTTGTAAAATACGGATAATATAGCCTTGCGAAGTTTGCCGTTTTGCAGTCATTTTGCATTACGCAGGGGAAATTGACAGCCCAATACCATTTGGGGCTGTCAATTTCCCATTTGTAGTACAAAATGACTGAAGAACGGCAAACTTCGCAAGGCTATATTATCCGCATTTTACAACATTTCGCAACGAAACTTTGGAATATTACTAATTTTGTGATGCTCTTTCAAGCTGTGATAAAATTTTTGTCTAGACTTGACTAGATCAAAATTTATGTTTCATTATACAAGCAATGTAAAGCATGATAATTGAGCAAATAGTTTTAACAGCAATGTCACATGATTTTGATTTCTGTGTTGGTGTTATGTACTCAGGTGAATATGATGTTTGTGATGTTACTCTGAGTGTATATCCACACCGGGCAAGCTTGAAAAATATGCCTGGCTACAGTGGGAATCGAACCTATATAGACCTTTGGAATACCAGCCCAATGCTCTTCCAACTGAGCTACGCGCCTTCTGGCCTTCGTCCAGTTTGGATTTTTAGCACCACTAAAGGGGTTAAACATATACAAGAGTCCATCTCCTTACCTTTCGCGGTCCTCTCTGTCTCTTCCAATTTCCTTCGCAAGTCTGCGTTGTTCACTTTCCAAATCTTTTAACGAATCACGGAAATTGTCGCTTGGCTTTAAAGAGGAAAAAACGGTAGTTGTCATGAGCAGTATAGAAACGATCAGTATATGAAATAGTGTAAATAAGTTTACCTCAGGATTGTTCTGGTCAGCAAACCTAACCTGCAAGATGTACAACAAATTTATGAAAAACGTTAATGCTAAAATCTGATCTTTCAATAGACAGTGATTCCAATTATAGACTAAATTTTGATCTAGGCGCGAAGAACAAAATTCATCATCACAGCTAGGAAGAGCATGTTAAGTTTGGACGCGAAATGTTGCAAAATGCGGAAAATATAGCCCCACGAAATTTGCAAATTTTGTATTAATTTGTATTACGCGCGGGAAAATGCAACACTTTCGGCACAAAAGTGGTGCATTTCCCCGTGCGTAATACAAATTAGTAGAGAGTTTAAGCTTCCCGTTATACGGTCAAACGTCAAACGCCAGGCAAGGAAAAATTTTACGATATCAGGCAATAAAGAGTAAATATAAACTTGCTGTTTTAAAACTGATATACATACCATAATTATTCTTTCGACGCAATTAAGAAAGAAACTATGAAACAAAAACGTTCAACGAAAATTTTGCCAAGAAACTTCGAACCAGGCTGCAGTTTGCCGTTCCCGGAAACGTGAAGCTTAAACTCTCTAACACAAAATTTGCAAATTTCGTAGGACCATATTTTCCTCATTTCACAACATTTCGCGGCCAAACTTTGCAATTTCACTCATTTTAACATGCTCTTTCTAGCTGTGGTGGTTGTTTTGTTCTTCTTGCCTAGATCAAAATTTAGTCTACAGCTGGAATTCATCCATTAGCTTTCAATCGTCTTGATACCTGAGGCTTTGCTCGGTTCTGTTGTTCACTGCGTCTTCTTTGAATGCGTTCGGTGGAATGATCGAGCTCTGATCGCAACTGAAATGTAACAAGTTTAACAACTGAATCTTACTCTATTACAACTATTGAAGCTATATTAAACTATGACGACCCCATGCTTTCTATTGCAAAATTATATACATTTCAGTTACAACTGCAAAGCACTGATTTGCAAGACAAGTCATTTGGGGGGAGGGGGGTCCAAGGGAAATGCCCCCATGGAAAATTGTAAAACTGAGTAGAATCTCTAAAATACCATTTCTCGCATTTTTGGAGAAACATGACTTTTTGTATAGAATTCTGGCTATTACAAGAGGGTCTAGATGGGGGGTCTGAAAATCAGTAAACGGTAAAATTTTTGTATTTTAACGGTAAATCTTTGAAAAGTGTTCTCGGAAACGATAAACAGTATTTTTTCCTCACGCTTCACGGTAAATTTTTGGTGCTTTCACGACTGACGGTAACCGAAATTGAGTGAAGATATACCCCAGCAAAACCCTCTTACAAATATAACAATCACTGGACCAGCATGCACACTTAGGAGGCTATTCTGAAGGCATGCCAGAAAGCCAGCCAGCTTTGCTCAAAATATTTCAATTTTTCTTACTCTTCGAATCTCCTCATCTTGATCGTTATTAATATTCCTATAATGTTCCAGCATACGATCAGCAGTCGTTAGCACCTCGGATGTCGCTCTTAACGAGGTCGTTAAATCTTGGACTTTGTCTCTGGCATCATCATCGAGCATGGATCGTCTGAATGTGGCATTTCGACGAGGCGATCGAAGATGATTGGTTCGCAGTGATCTGCGGCTTGACGAGTGCGGAAGGTCTGTGTCGTCATGCCATGAATCAGAATCTGCCATGAGCAACGAGACCAATCCAAATATGACAAAGGACCCAAAGTAAAATCTAACAATAGATAGAAAGTCTAATGTATTTTATATTTGCTAAAGACAAGCCTTACGCTAAAGACAAGCCTTAGTACTTAATTCTTCTAATAAAGGGCCTTTGATTCAAATGCTCCAGGACATTTTTTCATCGACTTGGAGGCAGACATAACATGTAGTTCAAAGAACCAGTTATAAGCCTATCACAGTGGTTAGGGCATATGTCGTTCGTGGCCGGATTTTGAGGGGAGATGGTTTTGCACCTCCCCTTGGGAAATTTTCAATGATAGATCAAAGTGAAAATTAGACATTTTTTTTTGGTTTCTCACAAGAGTTTTTCTGTATCTCTGTGTCAAGTACCCTTTTAATGCAATGTTTTGAAAGAAGCTTTCTAGTAATTGTACAGTCATAATTCATTAATACACTGATACATATATGTACACTACATGCATACGTCACATCATTATACAGCCCATTACACAGTAAGCCCAAACTTTCTATGGGGGTCGTGAGCTAGACTGCTGCACCTTCCCTAAATTTTTCCCCACCTCCGCCACTATTTCCACCAAAATCCGGTCTTGGTGTTGTTTACCTCTGAGACCAGGGTTCAATTCATGTAAGATGTACTTGCGATCGACATTGTTTGATTATTATATGGCTCAGTCACATGTGACAAAAGAATGCTGCCTTTCAATTTGACTCAAACACCACAGGTTGAAATAACACTGAAGTATCACGGACGTTATATTTGGACCTTTATGGGGAACAACATAGAACCGACAGAGTCAACAAATTATTTGTGTGGAAGATTTTATTTATGTACATGGGAAAAACAAAAAAGCTGCAAAATGCTATAAATTGGAAATATGTAGAATTGAAATTATTATTATTTTATAACTGTATAACAATCATACTGTACTTCAGTCTACGATACTTTATAGGTGACTTTCACTAAGAGCAGCTGCAAAAAATGCAACTACAGTATAGGCCCTCTGGGAGGCAAATTTTTTGCAGCTGGGCCTGGTTAGGTCTTAAATGTACAAAATTTACACTCTCAAATACCCTTCAATAGTTAGTTGTATCGAGTGAGATACCCATAAGGTTTCACTAAGCATTATTGTGAAGCAGATGTTGGCCAACTGGCAGTTAATACCAGAGTGGGAAAATGTAAGTTCTTTTCATGATATATATGTAGTGGTCTTGTATTGGCTGGCAAATGTACATAACTGAGAACAGCGAGGTTTAATTTTTTACACCTGTAAAATGATCAACATATCTGAAGTTGACTGCACCATCTAATGCCATGTACCTACTGCAATGCTTTCTGAAATCCACCAATATCCATGACCTGCATGCATCAGCTGCTAGCATTTTATACAAGTAAAATTGCAAAATATATATATAACAAAACTAGTATATACAGTATAAACTAACAGTATATAATAGCACAATAGCACTATATATTATATATATCAGTATATCACGATGACATTTTGATACAATTGCGTCAAGTACATTTCCGTTTTGAAGTAATCAATAAAAATACCACTTGAAAGATGAAAGCCAATATCCATATAAACTAACATTTTTAGTGCACGCGAAATATACACGTCTACCCGCTAAACATTCTTCGATACAAATGCCCCTAAACTGTTTAAAAATTAATGAATCTATTTTAAAACATGTTACATGTCTTTACAATACCTTATTCTACCTTGGGACTAAGGCTCATTCAAATGTAACCGTTGATTCCTTTGAAAATGCCTCCGAAAGAACATTGTTTGGCATTGTTGATTGATGACATGTGCTTTCAATTACGCCAACTCAGTCGGACTTTCATTGGGATTTCAGTCGATTATTTGCAGGAATTTTGGAACTGGTAACTTCAAAGATAAAACTCAGCTTTCCCAGTAGTTTATTCCACAATTTTTGCATGCTAAGAAGGCAAAATTACCGTTGAAAATGCTCATTTGTTTACATGTAGATTAGTAATAAAATTTCAAAATAGTAAAATTGAAATCGCCGCTCCATTGTTTGGGACGCTTCTGCGCGTGCGCGGAAGTCACTGTCATCTTGGAAAACTCAAACTTGTTTGACCGGTTTTCAATCCTATATACATCCCTCAAAAGGGTTCGTTTGTTTCCGAAGTGATTCCGAAGCGAAGAACTCGAAATTTCGAGTCAAATTTTATAAAAAAAATCCGTATAAAAGTAGGAATACTGTTTTGCATTAATTACTAAAACTGGAAAATATTGTAAAACTTTCATGTTAACATTAAACTTTAATCGTTAGTACATATAAGTGGAATTTACATATAAAATTTCCTTCAATTATTAACTATCTCGAGAAGAAATATAGTCAAATCCCAGACGTCTTTCAAGCGATGTTATCTTGTACAGTGCTTTCACGTTGTAAACAAACCGAAACAGGTTTTACAAAAATTTATCAAAATAAAGCGCAATATATCAAAGAACTTCCTATTATCTGTGGAAATAAAAAGACTGTTCTGTTGCAGGATTAAAAACTACATAGCTACGAGATAAACCTTTAATGGCGAAGAGGACCCGCGTTGAAAAATCGGATGGTTTTCACGAGAAAAGAGGACGATTTGTCGCGATTTCCCCAGACAAACTTACAGCAACGAGGGCAGGGGACACATACGATAATGGCGTGTGTTTTAGTCAAAGGCCTCTTAAACTTGGCGATGTGTTTCAGCTGCGAATAGATGAAATGGATTTGAAATGGGCCGGATCTTTGGTAAGCCACGAGAAGTGACGAATCGTAGTTCCGAAATAGTGACGAATTCGTGATGTTTCACTTTGGCTTTGTCCTTTGTATTGTCTGGGGTTAATATTTATGTTCGGGACAAAGAAAGCTAGGCTAAATTCTGGTCTTTAAGACGAAAGTTCTTCGAGTATCTAGTGTACGTAACGACGTAAAAAAGTTTGGTTTGAATAAAATTTTTGATTGCGGAAACTGTATGAATTCGTTCAAGGTCATTACCGGGTATATTTAATAATAGGTGTAATATGACACGAAGTCAATAATAGCCAATGTGAAATATTAGTGCAGCGCAAAATGACTTCTAGGGCATTTTATTAGAGGGTTGCATAGCTAGTTTTTGCTCAAATTGTCCATCTAGGAAAACCTTTCAACATTTTGTTCAATCAAGTATTAAGATGCACAAAATTTAGAACATCTAGAAAGTCACGTACGTTTTGAATAAGAATATGTCACGTCCGAAAATATTAATATGCAATTACTGTATTGCTATTACAGGTAAACTACGTGAAGCGTTCCTTTTTTGAGTTTCTAAATTGATTGCAATTTTCCTCATTACTTTTGCAATTTAAAAAACTCCCTTGCAAATTCCTTGAGGGAATTTGCAATGTTGCTAAAAGCCAAAAAAAATTTCCTCAGTTCCTGTTAGAAGTTCCTAACTTCCTGTTCTGTTCTGCGTGTTGCAATTGGCTAACAAAAATAACCGACCAATAACAACGCTCAGAACAGAACAGGAAGTTAGGAAATTAAAACAGGAA